GAGAACCACTTATGGTTTCGACTTTTTTTCTCCTTTGCATTTTGAAGTTCAGTCTCTGTTGTCTCGTCCGGAGCCTCAGTTGATTTAATTTCCGAGCTCAGAGCTTTGTATGGTGCTGGCCCAAAACCACTTCTGGTTTCAACTTTTTTCCTCCTTTGCATTTCGAAGTTCAGTCTCTGTTGTCTCGTCCGGAGCCTTAGTTGATTTAATTCCCGAGCTTAGATCCTGTCTCTTATACACATCTAGATGTGTATAAGAGACWSGTCCGGAGCCTCAGTTGATTTAATTTCCGAGCTCAGAGCTTTGTATGGTGCTGGCCCAAAACCACTTCTGGTTTCAACTTTTTTCCTCCTTTGCATTTCGAAGTTCAGTCTCTGTTGTCTCGTCCGGAGCCTTAGTTGATTTAATTCCCGAGCTTAGATCTTTGTATGGTGCTGGCTCAGAACCACTTCTGGCTTCGACTTTTTTCTCCTTTGCATTTTGAAGATCGCTTATACTTAGGGGAGAGAGTGAAAGAGGGAAAGAGACAGAAAGAGAAAGAGGGAGAGGGAGAGAGCGAGACACAATTCATTGCCAACAGTAGGGGAGCCTAGAGGTCGCACCAAGCCGTGTGGGGGCGAGTAGAGGGAGCGACACCAGGACAAACCCCGTGGGTTCCAAAAACGGTCATCGCCTCTCCCAAACCTTTTTCAGGGGACAAGAGGGGCTAAGACCTCGACACATGGTTGAGGTCAATGCCAGTCTATGTCAAGTGTAAATTGACCTTGCCGCACGAGGAAGTGCTTGTGGCTGCCTCCTATTTAGAGGGGAGTGCAACAAGATGGTTGAGTGGTTTAGTGCAGTTACAGGGATACGGTCATGACTTCCGCGCTTGGGCAGTCAACCAGAAACTGGATGACTTCCTCAAGCTGGTGAAGATAGGTGGCATGATCCTCAGGAGGCTCAAAAGGCCATTGATGCGATCCTAACTCTCAACCATAGACAGTTCAAGTCATTAAGAGAGGCCACAGACGCAGTAGAGCGTCTGATCTGTGTCCCTGGAGTGTGCTATGACCCCCAGGTTTTCCTCACCTCCTACCTGAGATGTTTTCCTATGCCTCTCAGGAATCAGTTGGCAGGTGAGGCCAACATCAACATGCACAACTTCCCCTCGTTCAGCAAGAAGGCCCTAGACCTGGAGGCAAAGATAGGGCATGGACAAACACCCAGAACGGACGGTAGGAAGAAGACACTACCTTCCAACTGGAAGGCGAAGGGCCGCATAATGTTCGTCGACAACGATGGTTCCACCATCGAGTTGGAAAACGACTTCCAGGCGGGAGCGAGTTCAGAGGCAGGCAGCGTAGAAGTTTCACGGGGTGGAATAGTCGCAGTCTCTGTCCAAAAAGGTAAGGCGACCGGTACACGCCGTGGAGGTTCGCGGTCAAGGAGTCAAGTTGACCCCAATGCTACTGCATGGGAGAAAGCGGGTCTAACTAAGGACGTGTGGAGAGATCGGTACACCCTGCAGGCTTGTATCCGATGTGGCCAATATGGCCATAATCAGTTAAAGTGCCAGAACAAGAAGGTGACCGAGAAGATCCCACCTACGATGGGGCAGGCGTTGGGATCCTCCGCTCCCGTAGGTAGCAATGTGGCCAGCAGTTCTGGCAATGCTCCGGGAAGCACGTCGGGCCAGTAGGAATAGTAGTTGTTGCTGCTAGGGTCGAGGTGGTGGACACACCCTCACCAACTCGAGAGATGGCCCAAGCTACTGACTCCATCGTCGTCTCGCAAACACATTCGGACCCATCGAGCCTCTGTTCGATGAATGTGTTTGAGTCCTTAGAGGAGCTAAAGGAGAAGTGGTTTAGATCAGACCCGCTAGCTTCTTGGACGACATTGGCTAAAGCCCCTAAGGGTGAGATGTTCGTCAGCGAGGTAGTCATCGGCGACCACAAGGTCGGGGCCTATTATGACACTTGCTCGACACAGAACCTTATCAGTCGCGCGTGTGTTGAGAGGCTGCGCTTACAGGGGCAAGTGCAGCGCCCGAGTCGACCTATGGAGTCGACCTGTGCCAACAAACAGCGCATGGTAGTCAACGACTACCTTCAGGACGTTCAATGTCATTTCCCGTACGCGGGAGGGAACTGAGACATCGCGTCTCGTTCCTAGTAAGTGATGATCTCCCAATGGACATCATGTTGGGTATGTACTATCTTTCGGTTGCACAGCCCCAGTTTGACTGGGACCGAAAAGTGGTCAAACACTCACTGCCCGGTGGGGGGACCGCCAGATTACGTAAGTTTAAGGCTAGTAGTCTGATCGAGTCCTATGGATGCATGTGTGCGGCCGCATTCTACAACTATTATAAGCAAAATCCGGAGGAGGGTATGTATCTAGTTTATGTCTCTGCAGCAGGCGAGCATATGAAAATGCCGCCGGAGATAGAGGGAGTAGTCGCTAAGTACCCTGAGCTATTCGAAGAGTCGAAACGGGTTGTCGAGAGGGAGGTCGTCCACGCGATAAAAAATATCCCGGGGTCTAGTATCCCGAAGGGTAGGATCTATTGGATGTCTCCAGGCGAGCTTGACAAGCTTCGCCGGCAGCTCAAGGAACTCGTAGAGAAGGGTTGGATCCGACCGAGTGTTTCCCCTTACTGGATCACCAGTCTTATTTGTACCGAAGAAGGGAGGAACTCCGAGGCTGTGCATTGACTATAGGGGCCTCAATGCCATCACCGTCAAGAACCGAGAGCCCCTACAGCGCATCGATGACTTGTTAGGTCGAGTGCAAGGGTGTCGGTACTTTAGTAAGATAGATCTGAAGTCCGGGTACCATCAGATTGCAATACGTCTTGAGGATCAACACAAAACCGCTTTTCAGACCAGGTACGGTCTGTACGAGTTTGTGGTGATGCCTTTCGGCTTTTGCAATGCTCCTAGCACCTTTCAACACGCGTTGAATCAGATTTTTCATGACTACTTGGACAAGTTTGTCATCGTGTACCTCGATGACATACTTATCTTTAGTAGAACTGTCGAAGAGCATGTAGCTCACCTAGACAAGGTTTTTGGCCTCCTTCGACAGCACAAGTTCAAGATAAACGGGGAGAAGTGTGAGTTTGGCCGCACCCGTATCTTGTACTTGGGCCATGAGATTTCTGCGGAGGGATTGAAGCCCGATGACGCGAAGGTGGCCAACATTCGTGACTGGCCGCGTCCTCAGTCTGTGATTGAGATGAGATCCTTTTTAGGGATGACCAGCTACTATCGTAATTTTGTAAAGAATTGCCGCCCCTTTGACGAATCTGACTCGCCTTGACACCCCATGGGAGTGGACAGCCAGGTGTGAGGTTGGTTTCAGACATCTGAAGCATGCTTTGACACACCATGAGGTCTTAAACCTTCCCGATCCTGACAAGCCGTTTAGAGTCACCATGGATGCTAGCGAATATGGCATAGGCATCGTGCTCGCGCAGCAGGAGGGGCCAAAGTTGAGGCCTGTCGAGTACATGTCCAAAAAGATGCCCTCTCAGAAGTTGGCTAAGTCCATCTATGAGAAGGAACTCTATGCGATTTTTAAAGCGCTGACCCATTGGAGGCACTATCTCTTTGGGAGGTTTTCCTACGTCAGGACTGATCATCAGTAATGAAGTGGATGAGAACCCAGTCTGTGCTCTTCGATGCGCTGAAACGCTGGATTGAAGTCATTGAGCAATATGATTTCGAGCCCCAGTACATCAAAGGTGAGTACAATAAAGTTGCTGATGCGGTATCGTGTAGGCCTGACTTCTCCGGTGCGCTGATCACTGAGTTTGGGCTTGCGAACGATTTCACTCGTTCTTTGGTGGAAGCCTATCGCGAGGATCCGTTTATGGTTGAGATCATACGCAGACTCAAGGCGAAGGGCAAAGCGACTTCTGCCGAGTTTGAGTTGGTCAACAACCTGCTGTTCCTTGAGAAGGTCGGGAATAAGTGTTGTGTGTTCCTTTATTTTTAGGCGAATGTCATGATGCCACCAGACATTTTGGTTTCAAGAAGACTGCAGCCAACCTGTTGCAGCGATTCTGGTGGCCCACGATGATGGAAGATGCCAAACTGTATGTCGAGACTTGTCAAGTTTGTCAACGTGATAAGCCCCGGACACAGGCTCCTCTTGGGCTGCTCAAGCCCCTTCCCATTCCGGAAAGGCCTGGTGAAAGCCTGTCCATGGACTTCATGGATACACTAGTCACCAGCAAGAGTGGCATGAGGTACATCTACGTCATCGTGGATAGATTTAGTAAGTATGCTAGGTTAGTTGCCATGCCCGAAACAGCAAAGACCGAGTACGTTATCAAGCTATTTAAGGAAAGCTGGGTTAGAGACTTTGGCCTGCCGAACTCTATAATCAGCGACAGGGATGTCCGATTCACTAGTGATCTGTTGAAGGCCGCAGCTGCCGAACAAGGAACTCAGCTGCAGATGACATCTGGAAATCATCCGCAGGCAAATGGACAAGCAGAACAGATGAACCGCGCTGTTCAACACTTGCTGAGGCACTATATTAAGCCTAATCAAGTGGACTGGGATGAGAAGCTCGCTCTCATCGCCAGCCTGGATAACAACGCAGTTCACAGTGCCACGGGAGTAAGTCCTAATAGCCTACTACTAACGTTTAAACCTAGGCTACCTCTTGACTTCTACCTGAGAACCAGCCCACCGCTGCTCCAGGCACATTGGAATTTGCCTATAGATATGAGAATCATATGCAGCAGGCGGTAGAACACATGCACAAAGCACAGGCGGTGATGATCAAATCTGAGAACAATCACCACCGCCCATCTATGTTTCAGGTAGGGGACAGGGTCTGGGTCAAGGCTTCTGAACTGGGACAGGAGCACGGGATCTCCCGTAAGCTCATTCCACAGTACTTTGGGCCATGGGAGGTATTGGATGTAGTAGGGGATGAACCAGACGGACCCTCATATGTCATTCGGATCCCTGGACACCTTCGTACCTACCCTGTTTTTCACGCCTCTAAGCTTGCACCATTCAAAGAAACTGACCAGTTTCTCACTCGCCGCTCAATGCTGCCCCCAACCATGGATGGAGAAGTCGACATCAATGACATTGTGGATCACAAAGAAATGCCAGTTCCAAGACCTACCAGCAAGGGACGTCCTCCGAAACCGAAGCTGCAGTATCACATTAGGTTCAGACATCACACTGATCCTAAGGAGGATAGATGGTTTACACGGGAGGAACTGATGCAGACCGCTCCACAGGTTGTCGCCCACTACGAGAAGTTACTGCAGAAAGGAAAGCGCCAGCTTGACTAAACTTCTCAGAGGACTAGCGAAGTATGGAGGAGTGAATGCGGGGCACAAGGCCTCGGTAAGCCCTACTGGGCCCCTATTTGCAACTACATCGGCCGCCCTAAGTGAAGGCAGGCTCGACAGACGACGAGAGGCCTACTTTGGACTACCACGCAACTGGGGGAAAATATTCAAGCAGTTGCGCAGCGCCAGTTGGTTGAAAGCGCCCAGGCCCTGGCCTCCTTTATCAAATGCATCTGAGTCAGGCCCTGGGCGAGATACGCAGCATGGACCCAACTCAGACTGTGCAGTTGGGCACGGGTAACTGTCACAGGCCCTGGGCCCGATTTGTTTGAACTGGGGCTCAGCTTCTCTGGGCCTACCGGAAGCTTCTGGGCAGGGGCCCAGCGCAGCCAGGCTGCACGCAAGGCAGGCAGGCCACCACTTCCATTTAGGAAAGGGCCTGCCCACGCATTCGGCATTCGGGCACTGGCTGCATGCTGCGCTATACGGTGGCCAGCGCTCACGCGCTCAAGGGCGAGCAGGAAGGAGCAGGCAACCATAGCCGAGCTGCGCTGCTCTATGCTGGATGGGGCGCATGGTGGTCCTTGGGTGCATGTGGCATCTGTGAGTTGGGGATCGAGGTTGTGGGTGATACGAGAGACATACCTGGTGCTTGGGCGAATGGCATTGGCCGAGATCTGCTCGTACTTCGGGGAGCTGTTGACGTCATCAGCTGCATTGTAGATAGGCTAGATAGGATCTGCCATTTGTAGTCTGGGCGCCGAGCGCCAGATAGGATGTCAACATTGGCTCTTTGTTGATGATGATGAGACTATTCGAACATTGTCACTTATGAGTTTTTGCTGCGCTCTTATTTGGTGTGACTCGTGATGCAATTCTGCTTTTGGTTCGAGGTCACGACTATTTCGTCTCATATGTATGATGCTGTTTGGTTTCTGAAGTTCGCTATCGCTCATTTTCATTGCATTCTTTACCAAATTTGAAATAAAATTTTTAAATAAAAAATATAGTATATAATATATAAATCGTCACAAACAGAACTGCCCGGTAAACCGTAGGCAGAGAGAGAGAAGAGGACAACAAACGAGGGGCTGTGACAAACGGTTTCGTCGGAGTTTCACTGACTCATCAGGAGGCTGAACCCTAACAGTCTGCAGAATCCCCTCACTGATTACACTGTAAATGATAATCTACCTTAACCAAAATCAAAGTAGACTATCACTCACCCACACCAGATGGAAAACTCTACA